ACAACATCAACAACAACAACAACAACAACAACAACAACAACAACAACAACAACAACAACAACAACAACAACAACAACAACATCAACAACAACAACAACGACGACGACGACGACGCCGCCGACGACGACGACAACAACAACACAGTCATGCAGTCTATATACACTGAACATCGTATGTTTCATCTACTTCAGAGTAACTGCAACCACATTAGAGAGTGTGTGTGTGTGTGTGTGCGTGCGTGCGGGCGGGCGCGTGCGTTTGTGTGTGTGTGTATGCGTGCGTGTGTATGCGTGCGTGTGTATGTGTGTGTGTGTGTGTGTGTGTGTGTGTGTGTGTGTGTGTGTGTGCGTGTGTGTGTGCGTGAGAGATTTTAGGGTTGCTGTGTTATGTATCGCTCGCTGATTTTTCTTAGTTTGAGCACTCTCTGGCCTAAGAGCGACGACCTATCCTGATGTTGTTGGTGCAATCCTTGTGCCATGGCCGCTTGTTTGGCTTACTTAAAGCTCGTACTTCAAAGTAGCTGTACTGACGAGGCCTTGATGACCGAAACAGCTACAGCCCGTAGCTGTACTGACGAGGCCTTGATGACCGAAACAGCTAGCTGTCTACAGCACTGGGCAGTGCGCTCCTCGGTATTTAAATGCACTCTCTCGGTAATCTGTGGTAGTGCTGCTGGCGCGCCTAGCCTCGCTCGCTACTAAACCCAGCCACTGTTTGATCGATTGATTGATGTGTTGCAATTCCTTGAGTGACGATAACCACTGTGATTTTTCTTAAAAGGATTGACAAAAACGCTGCGGGAGCCTGTAACATGCTTTTAAAAGTGACGGCGGCGGTGGCGCGAGATCACCAGCCCCTGACACACCGCAGCTGCTCAGCCCTGCTTAGTTCACACGTCCACCAAGCAGTGTCCCGGGCAGCCATCAAAAACATTCACGTACACACACACACACACACACACACACACACACACACACACACACGTACACGTACACACACACACACACACACACACACACACACACACATACACACACACCGTGGCATACAGTCACGTGACTCCTCCTTACTTGCCAATAAACCTAAACGACGGCTCTGCTACAGCTAGTGTCTTGCTTGTAGAGTCTCCTCTAGAAAATTCTCCACTCCATCGTCCCTCGCCATGGGATAGTGGGCTGCAGTGCAATGAGCTAATTGAGTTCTTCAAAAGCGACTGAGCTGAGTTTGAAAATGTGCACTGCGGATAGCTTCGTCGGCAGCAACTCAACAGCATCTTCACTGTTATAGAGCGGAACCGGAGTGAAAAAAATCAGGCTATTTCCTTCAGCCTGAATGGCACAGCTATAGGCCGGAGGTAGAAAAAGTAGTTAGTAAAACGAGCTAGCTGTGAAAATACGTCTTCATGATTCAAAATAGATCTGACACGAAAATAAATATTATTTTTGACGGAATTTTGCCTCACGTGCAGCATGCACTGTACTGGGCAATGGGGGCTGGCGCTGGCCCGCGCCCTGCGGGCCGCGGCCCCGCGTGCAGCACGCGCGTACTTTTTGTACAAAAAGTCAAAAGACAGGTCCAAACAAGCTCTGCAGATCTGCAGCTACAAAGCTGCGTGTTCAGGCCAGCAAGTACATGACTGTACAGTCATGTATCTGTGAAAGAGTCTTGTGTTGTTGTGACTGAGGCGAGGGAATGAACAGGAAAAGACTTGTTTGAAAGGTGGCTAGAAGAAGGGTGCGATCGAGACGCAGAGTGCTGCTCGTCAGCGAAAACCGCCGACCGTCTTGCCAACAAAACCAGGTCATCTCACGTCACCGTGCCACTCGCCACTGCGTGCCTGTAATAGCAAAGTATTTCCCGACTTTGTCTCCGGACCTACCTGGTCCTTGCTCGCATACACACCTGACTCTATAAGTTAGAGAAGCAGAAGGACTGAAGTGAAGGAGAGACTCGTGGCGGTTGCTTGTTTATCGGTGTATTCAAGTGGCTGTGGAGTTTTGTCCTTCAAAGCTGGCAAGTCAAAGTAACGGTGCAGCTAGACAGTCAGTGAACTCAGTGACTGGTGCACCGGGCACGAGACGCCGAGCCTCGGGTAAGGACTCATTCCAGACAGGGTTAGTGGGCGAGCTCCAGGTAGTCTATTCAACGCTCAGTGCCTGCCGGAGAACTAAAGCCAAGGCCACTGTCTGAGCCGGCAGCTGCCATGGCAACGCAACGAAAAGCGCAGTCGGCGCAGGGCGACGTCGCCAACGTCAACAGCGGCGTGGTGAACTTCCTGCTGGAGCTGGCAGACTACGAGAAGAACGTGAATCGTCACGTGCACAAGTACAACGTGTACCGTAAGGCGGCGCACACCATCGCCAAATGTGCCACGGCCATCGGCAGCGGGGCCGAGGCACAGAAGCTGGACGGCATCGGCGACAAGATCGGCAAGAAGATCGACGAGTTCCTCGCCACCGGCAAGCTGCAGAAGCTGGACAAGATCCGCGCCGACCCACGCAACGCCGCCATCGCCGAGCTGACCGGCGTGACGGGCATAGGACCTGCGGCGGCTGCACAGCTCGTCAAGGACGGCATCACCAGCGTAGCTCAGCTACGCCAGCACACCGACAAGCTCAACCATCACCAGCGCATTGGCCTCCAGCACAACGAGGACTTCAAGGAGCGTATACCGCGCACCGAGATGACTCACATGGAGGTCATCCTGCTGGCCGCCGCCAAACGAGTCGACCCGCAGTTGACCGCGACCATCTGTGGCAGCTATCGTCGCGGCGCGAAGAGCAGCGGCGACGTGGACTGCCTGATCGCGCACCCGTCGTTCACGTCTGTGTCCTCACCGGCTAAATCCAAGCAGCCCAACTCTCCACTGCATCAGCTCGTGCGCGAGCTCAAGGCGCAGGGCTTCATCACGGACGAGATCTCGCATGGTGAATCAAAGTTCGCTGGCGTCTGTCGCCGCCCGCTGAAAGCAAGCAAACGATCCTCCTCTGCCGCTGCTGCTGCGGATTCCGCTGGGGCTGCGCCAACATCATCATCGGGTAGCAGCAGCGTTGCAAAGAAGCCCAAACTCGAAAGCGCCGATAGCAGTGCCGATGCAGACAACACAGCCACGCCGAGTGGTAGTGCAAGCGTGAAGCAGGAATCCGGCGCTGACACGACAACAACGGCTGCATCTGCCGTGACGAGCGTAAAGTCCGAGGCGAGCAACACACACGCGAGCAGTAGCAACGAGGATGATGAGATTCGCCGCTTTCGTCGTCTTGACCTGCGACTGATACCACACGACCAGTACGCCTGCGGCATTCTGTACTTCACAGGCTCAGACATGTTCAACAAGCAGATGCGTGCCGAGGCGCTGGAGGTGGGCTTCACACTGAACGAGTACTCGCTGCGGCCCATGGGCAGCACAGGAGTGCCGGGTGAGCCAGTCCAGGTCACGACGGAGCGTGATGTCTTCGACGCCATCGGCATGGACTATCGCGAGCCGAGCGAACGTAACGTGTAGCTGGTGTGGTCGTGCGTGTCTGTCCACGTGTATTTTTGTCCACGTGTATTGTTTTGGGAGGCTGTCTGTTTAGCTATGTACATACGTGCGCGTAATAGCCAGACTGGCTTGCGTAGCGTGTATGTGTTTAGTCGTGGACGTTTGTTTGTCTGTGCACGTGTATTTTGGGGGGGGGTGTCTGTTTAGTTGTATACACACATGCGCGTAATAGCCAGACTGGCGTGGGGCATTTTCTCATAGATAGTCAAATTCCAGCCGGCAGAATTTACAATCATCTTCAACTGTCCTGTGGCTCTACGTATGATGGACATGTTCTTGTTTACGCGGCACTTCTGAGCACGCTACTGAACTTCTAATTTGGATTTGGATGCGGGCGCTTTGCACGGACTGGCCTCCGGTGCGTATTAGGTCTGGCGGTATGTATCTATATCTGCAGGATTATATCTTTTACATTGTACATGTAGCTCATTGTCCGTTTTACACCAGATCTTCTCGATATCAAAGTGTTTTATTCTCCGAAATTTGTACATGTTCTGGTTTAATCAGGCATAGTGGTGGCCTTCCACTAACAAAACTTCCTACAAGCTGGTTGTGCTACTACTTCTCAACACAATTGTATAGCCCGTTTGGTAATGCGAATGTGGGAACTTTACTCTTTTTTTTCATAGATGTATGTACGATTGCATTATCAGTTGAGATGCTTTGGCAAAGTCGTGACACAACGATGCACTAAATCAAACGAAACCGTGGAAGCTGCTGACTCATACTGTGTACATAGCCCCCCCCCCCCCCCTTGTCTATATGCCATGTGCTACCTGATGTACTGGCCTGCTATGTCGGATACCGCCAACCATGCATTGACTGCATTGTAGGCGCCAGGTGCGAACTGATGATTGCGGTGGTGAGAAGGAGAGCTCTGTGCCAGAACTTTGCAGCCTAGAGAGCGTGTGTGGGCAGGTGTGTCTTTACCACCATAGGTCCCTGACATAGGGTTTATAAAGGCACACTTGTCTGCGGTGAAGTCGACGGTTTGCTGTCTGCCCTGCCCGCCCCCGGCTACTCTTTTGACCTGGCTAGAACCCTGATAACCGTCATTCACATACATGTACATGTAGGTAATGCATAACCTCTATAGAGAACCAGCCAATCACTACGTACTAGTTTTATGTATGTTGTTGCAAATACAGTTCAACCAGGGAGTCGTAAAATACCGACTCCCTGAGTTCAACAAGTTTAATAATAATAATAAGTATTAATAACTTTATTAGGATGACCCAAAGGCTGACCGCCTATCGTGGGTCCGTCGCATTGAGGGATGATGGTACAAGAGTTTAGATGGTGGGAAAGGGCATGCAGCAGAGTCGTGATAGCAAACAACCCCGCATTGTTGCCCCTTAAGCTTAAGGCGACAACCAGAAGGTGCTGACCAATAACCAGGGAGTAGTGCAACACTGTAATAATATTATTGTACTACTCCCTGGTGCTAACTGCAAACCCAGCTAGACCGACGTGCGCAGATATCAGCAGTGGAATGCAACTGCCGAGTCAAATCCTCTTGGCGTCTTGCCCTCTGGACCGTTGATGTTTGCAGGAGATGGTGGTCTACGTACCAAGCGGTCGTCCCAACTCAGAGCTCAGGCGAGGAGAGGCGGTACTTCGGGCTTTGCGAGACGCCGTTCAAGACGCGCTATGCGGCAACCACCTGACAACTATAATTATACAGTGAAACCTGTCTAAGACGACCGCTCAAGGGACCTTCGAAATGTGGTCATTCACAGGTGGTCTCCTTATCCAGGGTCATGTGACTGGAAATAGCATTCCCTGGTCCTGGTTTCAGTGGTCTTTTAGGACAGGTGGCCGCCTTATCCGAGTGGTCGCCGTAACAGGTTTTACTGTACTACGAGGCACGAAATGTACCGCAAAAGCACTGAGCTCAGTCTTTACAGTGAAGCCTGTCTAAGACGGCCGCTCAAGGGACCTTCAATAGGTGGTCTCAGTTACGAGGTAGTCTCCTTGTCCAGGGTAATTTGACTGGAAAATTGGAAATAGCATCCCTTGGTCCAGGTTCCTGTGGTCTTCCGGGACAGGTGGACGCCTTATCCGAGTGGTCGCCTTGACAGGTTTACGATCGGTTCAATATCCGAGTGTCATAAAAATTTAATATTCGCGTGGAAACCAGGCTGACGCCAGGAAAGAAGTGGAAGTGTTTCGGCGTAGATCATCTACATTTTGTAGCTAGGCTATTCGAAGGAAGTAACGCCGGTTACAACATAGTTCTACATGTACATGTACCGGTACATCAGGGAGTCGTCGACGACTCCCTGATGTACATGTACATGCTGCAGGCAGGAACAACTTTTCGCCTACAAACGCCACCGGTGTCATAATAGAATGACCCCCGTAGTGGAAGCCCCCCCCCCCCCCCGGTCATTGTACTATTCCCATTAGGAATGACCCCAGGCGTACTACGTACGCTGGTGCACTGCCAAATATGCACCAAGCCATGCCTTTTGGGCAGTGACCTGGCACATAATTGGCAGTACTCCAGCGCACATAGAACGCATTGGACCATTCCTAAGGACACCACATGCACTCGCACACACCACACAAAACGAAACTAACTTACGTGCACCATCCAAAACATTTATATTTTACTGGCAATGTCGACATAGGAGAAGTAATTTATAACAACGTGACAATAGCACACAGCATGTCATTGCAATGCATTACTAAATTCAAGTCAATTGAGACGAACAAGTCGACAGGTGAACATGCATCACAAAGTATCTGGAATAGATCAGATTGTATCTCGAACTCCTACAAAATATACAGCTACTTGTACATCTACATGTACATGTACTTCAAATGTACCTAGCTACATGTCCAGTGTACATATGGACCTCAAGTAAACTGAAAGCAATGCGAACACAATCTCAGATGTATGTGAAAGAGTATCATTGTTCCGAATAAGAACACTTACAATGTACTCTCAAAACTAGTCTAATTACTAGTGCCATTTGGTCAAGGATGTTTGCATCCAACGTTAACTCCAAAGCAGCAGCGAATCAGCTAACTTCCGCACCGCCCAATAGGCAACACTAACACCAAAATGCAAAGGCATATTCCTGGAACTGCAAGTAAATCTGACACAAAACGTTCTATCATTCCACGGAGAAAGCTCCTTCCGATCTTGTTCGACCCTTCATTCATATGACAGCTGATTGGAACCTTCCTCCTCCCTTGACCATGTTTACCTTATTTGTCTACAACTAGGCACGTGGCATGTATGAACTATAATAAACACATGGTGCGTCGTGCATTATGGCTGATTGTAGGCCCTAGTGCGTAGCCCTCGGTCGTGCACCGTAGCCCGCGGGCCTGCGGCCCTTGGGCTACGGTGCACGACCTCGGGCTACGCACTAGGGCATAAATCAGCCATAATGCCCTCCGTACCATGTAGTAGAACGCTCGTACCTTGTACTTCACACAAGTTCACAGTGTCAGTAGTCACTTCGTATCGGACTAGCACCATGCGAAGAGTTACGTGGTAGATCTACAAACTGTACATACGGTACATGTAATCTCTGATGTCTCTGATCAGTGAATATATTTGAGGATTTCTCAAAGACATAGACTAACTTATTGAAGGGAGTTCCATTATAATGGGAGGCTGTAGGGTTGAGATAGCAGACAGTGGATGGCTAATGAACAGCCTAGCTAGATAAATACATAATATATATAGGCTTGGTGTTCCAGTCTCCAAGAAGGGTCCTGTACTCAATATTACCTATATCGTCGGGGTATGCCTTAAAAATACGAAATACAGAAACACTTACACATGGAAACAGAAACACAAAATTATTACGAATATTGAGCAGATAATCTACGTGGAGATAAAAACATTCATACTTTTCATAGCTATTAATAAGAGCAGAGCTCAAAGAAGGAGGACAGAGGCATGTCAGTGAGGAGTGGCAATGTGTTTGGTGTCAGAGAAGTGCGTGCAAATGTGACTATGAAACAGGGACGGTGAGGCTGTTGCTCTCAGGTCTGCGGGCAAGGCATTCCAGACGGTAGCGGCGCGGAAGAGAAATGACCTCCTCCTGGCGTGTTTTCCCACCCGTGGCAGAGTGAATGCGAGTTGCTTTCCCCACCCGTGGCAGAGTGAATGCGAGTTGCTTTCCCCACCCGTGGCAGAGTGAATGCGAGTTGCCGGCGGCGACTACGCGTGGGGCAGTATCCTGCTGCTTCAAGAAGTTCTGGTTGGGTGGTGACCAGATGGAAGAATTCCAGAAGGCAGGCGATATTCCCGCACCAGGATAGACAAGTTGGCCACCCCAGCTGTCTAAATAATGACGACTTGGGCTCGTCTGATGGGCAAGGGCATTACATCTGTCAAGCTGCATGACTGTGCGAGCTACTCTGGTTTGCAGCCGTTCAAGGGTGGCCCGCTGTGCAGCAGAGAGGGAGGACTCCCATACAGGGGCGGCGTATTCTGCTGTGGGTCGGACATACGTAAGGTACAGCTTCCTGACGAAGTCTCCTGTTAGACGGTCAGCCATATGGCACAGAAGAACGCAGCGTTGTCTAAACTGAGTTACTTGCTTATGGTCTGTTCAATGTGCTCCTGGAAGCTAAGTGTTTCACTGAACAAAATTCCCACTTCCAGGTGACGGTGACTCGTTGACGGCCGGATACCACGGATGCCACGGATGGTCTCTGCAGCTCCTTCCTCATCGAATGAGATAACAACGGTTTTCGATGGGTTAAAAGACGCGCCTACTCGGTCGGCCCATGCAAATGTGTCCTGCAGGGCAGTCCATTGGGATATGGTACAGTAATGTACCTTTGGTTCGTGCTTGGCCGACGGCGGTATCATCCGCGAACAGGTAAACATGAGGGTGCTGGTTGCGTTTTGAGGCACTGGGTAAGCTGTTGATATGCACCAGGAAAAGCAATGGCCCGAGGTGGGAACCCTGGGGGTACTCCAGACTTGACGGGACGTGGGTAGGACAGATGGTGTTGGACGCGGACGCTGAATGTACGCGTATTGAGGTAGTTCTTATATAATAATCTTTATTTCAGGATTACCCAAAGGCTGACGCCTATCGGGGATCATCATCTCCTACTTGTGTATATACAATGAAAATTGGAGTTGGGAAAAGAGAAAGTGTGCAAAATGAGTTCGGAAAAAGAGAGATGCTGTACAAAAGATACTTTTTTTCAACCACCTCGTAGCCACGCCGGAGCATCGCAGATAGTCCTGAGTACGAGTACATAGCTGGAGCTGCGGAGAAGCACCTCATGCTCATGCGGCACTTTCTTTTTTTATCGAAAGCCTTCGCAAAATCGAGAAATGCAGCGTCGTAAGGGATGCGTTTATCCATGGTCGAGGCGATCTTAGTGCTAGTGGTGAGCTGTATAAGCTGGTCAACTGTGGAGCGATCACGGACAAAGCTGAACTGTTCCGGGACAATGATGTGGTTGACCTCGAGATAGTGACCGAATTTGGTGGCGACAATCTTGTCTAGTGCTTTGGCAATAGCTGGGAGTAGGGTTATAGGGCGGTAGTTGGAGGGATCACACGGGGATCACTGTTCCCAGCTTCCAGGCATTAGGAAACTCACCTAAGATGAGGCTAGCGTTGAAAAGGTTGGTAACAGAGGACGTTATACATGGTGCGATCTCTGGGAGGATCCTGTTAGAGATGTTCCCGCCTGTTGCCTTGTGCTGCGGGAGCCTTC